AGAATCTTAATTTGGCCGATTTCAATAATTTTGTATTAGCACCCGCAGCATGCCACCTCTCGGGGTTCCAAACCCCATCCTCAAGGTGGGCCCTTGTGATCTTAATGGGCCAGGCCTGCGCGAGGGGTGAATCGCGCAGGGCCAATAGGACCGTCCTCGGATAAATTGCTCAAATCATAAGTCCGGCAGTGGAAGATCATCTTCATGGATGATTCTTAACTTTCCATTGATGTCATGATAAAATCTCCTATAATATACTGTAAATCTTATAAATCTTCCTTGTTGTATTGAGAAATGGACAAAAAAATTCTCCAAGTTTACATGCAGAACGGATCAACAGGTATCAGAAATGTTAAGTTTGGGGCACACCAGTTACTACGTTTCCCTGAAAGTAAGGTCTACCCCGAAAATAAGACCTAGCTTCACGTTTGGGGGTGGGCCTAATATAAGCCCTACCCCAAAAATGAACCCTAGTTTTGGGGTGAGGCACACACTTAAAAATCAAGCTAGGGTGGGGTGTGCGGATCTGCCCCACAAGCTCCGCACCCACTTACCTGGCAACCAGGCCTCCTCGCAGGCCCACTTCTGCGGCCTCTTCTGCAGCCAGGCCTGCATTTCTCAGTCACAGGCCTTTCCGGAAGGCCACTGCAGCAGAGAACTGAGCTATGGATTCAATCCATAGCTCGTTTCTGCAAGACCTCTGCAGCCGAGGACTGAGCTATGGATTCAATCCATAGCTCAGTACTCGGCTGCAGAGACCTTCTGGAAAGGCCTGACCGAGAAATGCAAGCCATAATGCAGCTGCAGAATGAAGCTGCTCCTTTGGCCCCAGAAGCAGGCAGGCTGGCCGGGGCTGTCGGTGCCGGAGGTGAGTATAAAAGACACCCCCCGAAAATAAGACTTGTGCCTCTTTTGGAGGCAAAAAAAAGACCCAGTCTTATTTTCGGGGAGACACGGTTCACATATTGCCCAAATGTGTATGTAGCTTTGGATTGTTTTCCTTAATATAAATGAACAAGAAGAAAGTTTTTCATTCATTTATTTGAGTTCTCTTTATCTAGTTTTAGGACTTGTCTGGAGAACATATGTTTTATTTATGCAGAAATACTGAAAACTCAAAAAGGTTCACAAACTTTTAAGTACTACTTTACATATCTTGCTTCTGCATCTCTAGAGCAACTTCAGAGTAGAAACATTTAGAAAAAAATATGTAGTCTTTTAAAATTGATACAGTACTGTAGATGTACTTTACATAAAACTAATATCACCGAATTAAATTCTCAAGAGTTAAGGGCAGCAAGAGAAAAAAACAGTTTAGGAAACGCAGGGAAATTTTAGATCAGAACATTAAAATTAGCCTACAGGGAAATGTGGGATGGGAAATCAGAAAAGGTACCACAAAGCAATTTATTTATGAGGCGCCCTTGGTGTTCTCTGAGCTTAAATGTTTTTTTACAGACTTTTCATTACCAAACTAGGTAATAAAATGTTTGGTAATAAAACGTCTGCAAGAAAAAAAGCAAACTCAGAAAGCACCAGGGACCCCTCATTTCAACCCTGAGCCACAAATATTTTCCTCTATCAATCTATGACCGCACTCTCACTATTCTTTTTTCTTAATACAACATAAATGACCTCTATTGGTTCGTCCAGTAAATACAGTACAAATCAACATTTCTAAATATTTAAAAGAAATAAGAACAAACATGTCAGAAACCTTTATTCCATATCACACATTTCACATCCCTTATACAATTTTCCGGGGTTTATAGAATAAATTTAAAATATAGTAATCAACAGTGGACTTTCCATGGTAAAATATATTGCATTGCACAGTATTTCCAAGGCCAACATGGTTTTAAAGCTTCATCCCATACTAAAACCCTAAACTAAAATTCAGTACTGAGGTTACCTTAAAGGACATATTTTCCAACTGATTTTTGTTTTTTGAAATCACTGAGATAAGCAGATGCAAGTTGGGCAAAGTTAAACTGAGGAAAAAACATTTATCTCTGCTTGAAAGTTTCTCACAATTTTTACTTTCTGAGCATATCAAATGAAATTATTGCCAAGTTTACTACTCTGGGCCCTGAATCATACCAGCTCAGTTTCAACTTATTAAACTATAACTAGCTCCCTTTGAAAACCCCAGAAATGATTATATGCACCCCATTATGAGTTACTTTAAAACATATATGTATGTATGTATGTATGTATGTATGTATGTATGTATGTATGTATGTATGTATATGTATATGTTTTAAAGTAACTCTTCATAATGAGGTGCATATAATCATTTCTGAGATTTTCAGAGGAAGCTATATATATATATATGAAATCCTCCTCACTATAGATTATTGTCAAAAAGATTCATGTTTTATATCTAAGCATCCAGAAGACCTCTCTCTTTTTTTTAAAAAAAAAACTGTAAGGCATCCATGTCAATCAATCAAGCTGCATATAATTCCATCGAATCACTGATTTCCATAATCAGTTTTGATTCTGGGTATTGCCTCTTTTATGAAAGTTGGAAACTTGTAAAACACGGAATGCAGGAATGGAGTTCGTTCTCTCACCCAACCAATTCTAATTTATTCCTTTGTAAAATGAAAAAAAAAATCACGGGAGATAAAAGAGCCCTCTGAAAGAAATGCTGTGACCCATTTCCTTTGCCTTTAAGTTTGGATACAGAAACTGCTACCTCCATTCAGGTCTGATGTTGCTCTGAGTAGGGAAGTGACTGGAGTTTGGTGACTCCTTTTTCGGAGAAATGAGGGACCGTTTTTCCTGAATTCTCTTTTCTCCCACACAGCTCCAGAATTTTCCTAACTTCACACTCCTGGACAGATTGTAAGAGTCACAAGGTAAGAAGACCTCAGTGAAAACTGCCACCCCTAAGGGGGAATATTCCTTTTTACACATTTCCCCTCAAGTGAACTCTGAATCCTACCATTTAGCAGGATATTTGTGCACGTCTGATGGCATTGCAGATTCAGAATAAGTCTTCTTCGAGGAAGCCATCAGTTTCTAGACAATACAGTAAAATTATGGAGAACAAGGTGCCAACATCTCAGGTCTCCTTTGCAGAATTTGGAGAAGTCATTTTTGCACTTTCCTTCCATGCTTTGGATACGGAGGTTATCATCTTTTTTTTCTCGAAGTGGAAACAAATAATTCATCCTGTAAATTAATGACAGGTATTTCATTGAGATGTTATATGGTTAAGGAGAATAATCCCCTTTGGATAGGTCAGCTTTATCGGTGTATGACAATTCATAGTGGGATCCAGATATTTTTTTAAAAAAATGTTTTGAATTTGGATTCTTCACTGATTTTGTTCCCAATCTTATCTTCTTCTCTCCCTATGGAATACAACACTAGCAATAGCACTTAGACTTATATACCGCTTCATAGTGCTTTAAAGCCCTCTCTAAGCAGTTTACAGTGCCAGCATATTGCCCCCAACAATCTGAGTCCTCATTTTACCGACCTTGGAAGCATGGAAGGCTGAGTCAACCTGGAGCCTCATCAGGATCGAACTCCAGGCTGTGGGCAGAGTTAGACTGCAATACTGCATTCTAATTGCTGGGCCACCACTATCCCACTATTCCTGGCAACAATAGCCAACATTCAAAGTTTCCTCCTGCTTTTAGAGATTGCTAACTTTCTAATTTTCTGGCAAAATAAATCACCTATTATGATTCTCTTCTCCCCCTTCAATTATGTCCAATTCTATCTAACAAATTGCCTGGACAATCCCTGCAGTTTTCTTGATGGGTTCTTCAGAAGTGGTTTGCCAATGCCTCCTTCCTAGGGCTGAGAGAAAGTCACCAGCATAAGGTCATCCAGCTAGCAGGCTGGCTAGGGAATTCTGGGAGTTGAAGTCCAGACATCTTAAAATCGCTAAGGTTGAGAAACACTGATTTAGGTATAGGTAGAGAGGTAATGATAGGATAGATAGATAGATAGATAGATAGATAGATAGATAGATAGATAGATAGATAGATAGATAGATAGATAGATAGATAGATAGATAGATAGATAGATAGATAGATAGATAGATAGATAGATAGATAGATAGATAGATAGATCCATCTATCCATCTTTTCTCTCGATATAAAATCTATCTATCTATCTATCTATCTATCTATCTATCTATCTATCTATCTATCATCTATCTATCTATCTATCTATCTATCTATCTATCTATCTATCTATCTATCTATCTATCTATCTATCTATCTATCTATCTATCTATCTATCTATCAAGATAGCAGTGACCTATCTGATGCCCAGCAGTGTGAGAGGCATTGAATTTACAATAGGCAAACCCTTTTACAGGACAGAACATTTAAGATCTCAATGAAATAACTGAATTCAGTGCTGATAACAAAGCTCATACATTACTACCAACATATGAATCAGTGTCATATGGAGAGAGAGAGAGAAAGAGAGAGAGAGAGAGAGATGATAGATAGATAGATAGATAGATAGACAGACAGACAAACAAACCTTTATTGTCATTTTTTACTGTGAGCACAATGGCACACATTAAAAATGAAATTTAATTGCTTGCTCTCAAAGTGTACACACACAACACACATTTAAACATACTATATACAACATATGCAAATAAATATGTAAATAACTGACTGCTTCTCTGTATATATAGTTATCTGTGGCTCTTCCTGCTTCAAAGAATCTGTGCCTTAATGAACGGAGTAAAACAACACGATAAGGTTGGAAATACTAAGAGACAAAAAAGAATCTACACAACTCTAAGGTTTAATGAGGCTGATGATGAGGTTAGCCCTATCTTTTATTACAGAGTTTCTTGTTAGGATCCTTGTTAGGAGTAAGGAATTGTGAATAGATGTAAAAACCACTAAATATCGCTCAAACATTTTGCATATGGATTGAAGGAAGTACGATGGAAAAAAGATTTTATACCTCATCTGATTCAAAGGAAACACCTTTTGACATTTGGCTCTGAGAATTCCTCTGGCTTTGCGTTGAGGTGGTTGGTAATCTAAGTATTATAAGAAGAAGACAATTATCAATGAAATCATGATACCAGAATTCAATTATAAACTATTCAAGTTTCTAATTTGTTTCTAGCAGTTTTCAAATGTTGGCTCTTATCTCTAAACTCTAAATAACAAACTCTAGATCAAACATGTCAAACTCGCAACATCACGTGATGTCGCGCAACGTATCGGGATGGTTTTGCCATTGCCGGCAATGGGGTGGGCACAGCTTCTGCGTGATGCATCCAGCCCGCGGGCCGGCAGTTTGACACCCCTGCTCTAGGTCAACGGTTCTACCAACCTTTGATTTGTAGAGGAAGTGGTAAAAGACACCTCCATATCAGAATCATCGTCTTCAATCACCTGCAAGAGACAGAGCAAAGGCCCAGAAAGCTGCACTTTTAATACAGCTTAATACACTTTCAATACAAGTTGAGCTAGTTTCCAACATACAACCACAATGGAGTTCAAAATTTCTATTGCTAAGTGAGACATTAGTTAAGTGAGTTTTGCCTCTTTTACAACTTTTCTTCCATAGTTAAATGCACTGCAGTTATTAAATTAGTAGCACGGTTGTTATTGAACCTGGACTCCCCATTGACTTTGCTTGACAGAAGGTCGCAAAAGGGGATCACGTGATCACGGGACACTGCAATTGCCATAAATATGAATCAGTTGCTAGGCGTCCCAATTTTGATCATGGGACCATGAAGATGCTGCAATGGTCGTGTGAAAAACGGTCGTAATCGCCTTTTTCAGTGCTGTTGTAACTTCAAACAGTCACCAAAGGAATTGTTGTAAGTTGAGGACTATCTGTATATGCACAAGAAAACATCCCTTGTGTTCTTTTTTATTGGTGACTGATTCTGTCCCTATTTTCTTTTACCGGTTTATGTTATGTTTGTAGTTGAGTTGGGAAAGTGGCACCTGACTTTTTTTTGGGGGGGGGGAACCCCTCTGCTGGGGTACTGGACTCAAAGCTCTGACCAGTTGATTTCCCATAAGCCTTTGAAAATTTGACTCTCCCATTCACCCCTCTGACCTCAGCACTGGGTCAGGAAATTGGATGAGCCTCTCCTATAATAGCTTTCTTGTACTTTTCATTCTATTTTACGCTTTTACTCCTATTTGTGATTTGGACAGCCGTGTAAATTACTTAAATAAACAAAATGATGCCATGTTTTGAACACATTGGCCCTCTCTTGTATCCCAAACCTGGTTACTCAATCCAAAAATCAACCACGTGAGCCTTACCCTTTTCCGTAATAAAACACTTGCCCGCTTTGCAAATGAAGGATGCTCCTTCAGTAGAGTCACTTAAAGACACCCCAAAAGCCTCAACATTCCCAGGCCCTTCCAGGGAAAGAGGCAACTAAGCAGATGGCCCAAACAAACGCCACACCTCAAGGCTTCGCAGAAGATTGTCCCTATCTGCTACATAGCAAATCAGCTTTCCTCAACGGATGTCCTTCACAAGCACTGGGAAGACAATTTGTAATATTCCCCAACCCGCCTGGAAAAAGCTGCATTGCACTCCCAGAAAAAGGGGAAATTGCTGGATTTTATCATGAAATAACTACCAACCTCTGAGTAATTCCTGACAGGCGTGTTTCGGGAGGGCTGCTGTCTGGACGACTTAAATGCTAGAAAACATCAGAGTACGAATGTATAGCAATGATGGTAAATTTATGACACTTTGAAATAAACTACTGTTGGCACATAGCACGAGAGAATTAAAAAAAATTCTGCAAGACCTACGTTATGACAGACGTTTATATCCATTTTAAAGATGTACATAAATGACAACGGTTGGTTTGCTTACTGTGCTTAGCTGTGTTTCATTTAAGAACAATTTACTGAATATATCAAAATCTTTTGGGTTGACATAGCAAACCCTGACTGCTCTTTAGAAGGCCAGATCCTGAAGTTGAAACTCAAGTACTTTGGCCACCTAATGAGAAGGAAGGACTCACTGGAGAAGGGCCTAATGCTGGGAAAGATTGAAGGCAATAGAAGGGGACGACAGAGAATGAGGGGGCTGGATGGAGTCACTGAAGCTGTAGGCATGAACCTAAATGGACTCCAGAAGATGGTAGAGGACAGGAAGGCCTGGAGGAACGTTGTCCATGGGGTCGCGATGGGTCAGACACGACTTTGCAACTAACAACAAGCAAACCAAACAAATTTAATGTCTGTCTACTGTGTTATGTGAACTACAGTGTTGTATGAACCAAGGAAGTCACTCGCCAAATACAGTAAAAGCTCATCAGATAACCTACCATCCAAAATCGACATATTTTTCGTAGGAGTGAGAGGCTTATACGTTCTGCTGCTGCCTGTCTGGTCACGGGCAGCACTTCCTGTAAACAATACAATAGAGAGTCAGATGTTTACATTTTCTCACTTCTTTTTACCAAAGACTTACTAAGTCTTTAGGATGGTGCCCCCAAACTGGCTTATGCAGACTGCAATGTCCTTTAAGGAACTAACACAGGACTGGCAACATGGCGTCTGCAGACATTTAGCACAATGTATCTGGTTAGACCAGGGGTAGGCAACCTTGGCTCTTTTATGACTCTTGGACTTCAACTCCCAGAATTCCTGAGCCAACATGGCCCAGCTTGGAAACCTCTCCCTTTCCCCTCAGCATGGCTGGCTCAGGAATTCTGGAGTTGAAGTCCACGAGTCATAAAAGAGCCAAGGTTGCCTAACCCTGGGTTAGACAATATTACAGATAGTTCTTGACTCACAACAGCTCATTTAGTGACCGTTCGAACTTACGACGACACTGAATAAAGCGATTTTTCACACTTATAATTGTTGCAGCACTCCCTTGGTCACGTGATCAAAATTCAGACACTTGGCAACTGACTCCTATTTATGATGGTTGCAGTGTCTCGGGGTTTTGTGCACACCTTTTGCAACCTTCTGACAAGCAAAGTCAATGGGAAGTCAGATTCACTTAACAATCGTATTACTAATTCCACCACTGCAGTCATTCACTTAACACTGCAATGATTAAATTAGTAACACGGTCGTTACTATCAGAAGGTTACAAAAAGTGATCACATGACCCCAGGACACTGCAACCGTCACAAATATGAACCAGCTGCAAAGTATTGGAATTTTGATCACATGACCATGGGGGTGCTACAACAGTCGTAAGTGTGCAAAACACTCATAAGTCACTCTTTTCAGTGGTGTGGTAACTTCAAATGGTCACTAAATGAACTGTTGTAAAGTTGAGGAGTACCTGTAAGCCAACAATCAACCACAGCAGCTTTATAGAAACTGCAACAAGATGGAAAAAAAACTAGCCACCTCTTCCTCGCCGAGATGACCCCCTGGCTGAGACATTCTGTCCTCTGCCTCTCGCCCGACCTCTCTGTCTACCCCGGCTGGGAGCTAAAGAGTCGTCCGATTCATCATTGAATCTTTGGTTAGAGGTGGCCACATCCATGAGGTCGTCATCACTCATCACCGAAGCACGATTGGTCTCTTGAGATCTGGCTTTGGCCCTGTTGATAGCCTGGGAGAAAGAGAGGGAAGCAGGGAAAGAAAAGAATTCCACTCAGATATGAAAGCATTTCTCCATGCATGGAGTGGAAATTATCAAAGGGGTGGAAAAAATGTTTACTGCTGAATCAATGAGTGGTCTTAAAACTGAAAGGGGGAAAACAGGAGAGCAAAACAGCAGGTAAAGTTGGATTTGAAACAAAAGGAATTGTGTGGTCTACATTTCTTTAGAGAGAGAAGTGAAGCACACCGTGAGGTAAATATGAGTCTCGCCTGATTCATTCTTGGATTTCGGCCTACCTCACGGACTTCTTCGTCCTCTTCCACCGTGTTCTTTTTTCTCGATTCTCTGAAGCGCTGAACCTGCATTGAAATGGAAGAGTCACCGAATATATTCAGATGAAATAAGAATCCATGCTTAATGCAAATTTGTTTCCTTCCTGAAGGGGGGAAAAAGGCTAGCTGAAATTCAAGTACAACTAATCCTCAACTTACAACCATTAGTTTAGTGACTGTTCAAAGTTACAACACTGAAAAAAGTGACTTATGACTGTTTTTCACACATACAACTATTGCAGCATCTCCATGGTCTTGTGATCCCAGACACTTGGCAACTGGCATATATTTATGACGGTTGCAATGTCCCGGGATCATGGGATCACTTTTTGTGATCTTCTCACCAGCAAGGTCAATGGGGAAGCCAGATTCACTTGACAACTGTGTCACCAACTTAACAACTGCAGTGGTTCCCTTAACAACTTTGGCAAGAAAGCTCGTAAGATGGGGAAAAATTCACTTAACAACCTATTTGCTTAGCAATGGAAATTTTGGACTCAAAATTGTGGTCATAAATCGAGGACTACCTGGATATTCTGGTACATTAAACAAGAATTTGACCATCTGAAGGTAGCCAAAAAATTACTCAAGGGAAGCATCTGTTCAAATCATTCTCCTAGCCGTGATGTGACATTTGTAATAGTAATACAGATATTTGTAATATTCAATTATTGAATGTGTTCAGGAAGAATAAATCATGCCATACAAACCTCTTCGTCAATTTTGGCTTCTTCTGCATCTATACGCCGCTCCTTCAGAAATCTCTGGGTCTTTTCTAACTGGAACTTCACTAGTTCTTCAATAGTGTCCTTCTCCTCCTTGTCCACAAATTCTTGCACGGCTTCCCCCATGCCTCTCTCAGTCAGAAGAGAAAGCTGCACTTTCTTGGACACATAAACGAAGAGTCAGTTTGATTTCAACTTATATGCTAACCCAGTGGTTCTCAACCTGTGGGTCGGGACCCCATTTGGGGTCGATCGACCATTTCGTGGGGGTCGCCAAGCAAGGCTGTCCGCCATTTTTTTTGTCTGCCATTTTTTCCCCCTTTTCCGGCGGGTGCCTTACCTCCCTTGGGCTGGGCCAGCTGGTGGTCGGCCTGCTCCGTCTCTGCCGCTTGCCAGCTACGTCTCGGCCGGCGCAGGGGGCGGAACCACGCATGCGCGGCGCTCCCGGGCAGGGAAAGTCCTCGACTTACGACCGGTTGGGTAGTCCTTGACTTACAACCGGTTTAGTCCTCGACTTACGACCGGTTTAGTCCTCGACTTACAACCGGTTTAGTCCTTGACTTACGACCGGTTGGGGTCGCGGCATTAAAAAGGTTGAGAACCACTGTGCTAACCAGATTTGTTGAATTATGTTTGTTGAATTGAAGAAAGCATTGGATAAACTGGAATGATGGAATGGTTTGTTGGGAGAAATTTTAATTCAGTAATAAATTTATCCCTGCACTACCTTTGAAACTCCCTTTAATCATCTACCTGACCTACAGGTAACCAACATTGTTAAGTGAGTACTGACCCATTTTACTGACTTTCTTGCTAAAGTTGTTAAGTGAATAACTGCATCTGTTAGGTTAGTACCATGGTTGTTAAGTGAATCTGGCTCCCCCCCTTTGATTTTGCTTGTCCGAAAGTCGCAAAAGGGGATCACATGACTCTGGGATGCAGCAACCATCATTAAATATGAGTCAGTTGCTAAACATCTGAATTTTGATCACGTGACCCTGAATTTTGATCACGTGACTTATGCAACCGTCATAAGTGCGAAGAACGATCATAAATCACTTTTTTCAGTACCATTGTAACTTGGAACGGTCACTAAACAAACTGTTGTAACTTGAGGAATACCTGCAGTTTTAGCTAAGATTTAGTTATTTATTAGTAATAATAATTAATATGAATAAATGATAAAAACTATTTAATTAGTTTTAACTTTTTCTGCAGCTTAGCCATAAAAGCTTAACTTGTAACCTGGCTACAAAAAGTTACAGGTTTTGTTCTAACATAACTTTCACATCCAGATTGTTTATCTCAGCGCAATATCAAAACCACAAATTGCCCAAAGTTTAAATGGAAAATTCCAATAATGGAACTCCAATCATTCAATTAAAATCTGGTCTCATGACTATTTTTAAACCTAGTCATAAATACTAGAAAAATATGTCTACCTTCTCTGCTGTTTGGAAATATTGCTTTACTAAATCCTCCACCCGCAGTGTTGTTCCCTCAGCTGTAGGCTTGTGGACCAGTTTTCTGAAGTTAACTTCATCTTCTAAAAAAAAAAAAAAAAAAGATACATTTTAATCCTTTTAAGGAAATGCTTACTATTCCAAATAATAGTTTTTAAAAAAAAAAAATTACATACACACACACATATCTGGTAGGCATAAAGAAAATATGTAATGTTTTATTTTAAAAGTTTAGTGAATTGTAACAAAAGGTTTTTGAACAAGTATAGATTTTTCATGAAAAACAGAAGTCCTATATTTTAAAAATACAGATGGAAAGATAAAATAAATATACATTTTCAACAGTGAAACACCACCATTAAAATAACACAGGTTCCTACTGCAGATTTTCTTTTGTATTTTGTTCAGTTTTTAGTCTTATTGAATACCTGAGTTTACTTGATTGGTTAATTATTAAGAAACCTAAGTCTCAGAACGAAGTTAACTATTTGGTCAAAAATATTCATTTGTCTTAACTTTAACCCAAGATGCAAAGATAATTGTTCAAAATAACAAAGACTGAATTTTAAAACGCCCTACTAAAAACACAGAAGATTCTAGAACAGCATTTAATATAGCTTGAGATCATGTTTTTACTTATACACCTATCACCGTAATAATCATTCTGTGGACCAATTTCATTTCAGGAATGCTTTTGCAATCCATTTCCTCTTCAGCAAACCTCACTAGTGTTCATTAAACCTTGAATACAGAATGTTTGTCAGCTATTAATAATCTCCTTTTTTAAAAGCTGGGACATATTTCTCAATATCATCTTATTTCAGAAGCACAGGTGCTTTGAACAAGATGACATAGCAAGGCTGAAACCATCAGTGAAACAAAGACTAGCAATCTGCTAGTGCTAAAAAAAACACCCCATCGTTTCATCTTGCATGAACAGAAAAAGAATGCCTTGGATGTAATTATTCTTCCTAGTACCTTATGAAAAGGAATACAATCCATGGGCTAGAATCAGCTGTAATGAAAATGTACTGTAATTACGTATGTAAACACACATTTCAAAGGAATGTTAAATACCAGGCAATGAATTAAACATTAGGTGAGATGGACAAGGCTTCTGGGCCTTACCAGGTGATTTTAGGCAAAGATAAAGAGTTTATTACAAATGATTATTACAATTTATAGAAATCAAATAGGTTGGCGTATTGTGAAAAAGAAAATTATCAGAACAAACCAACGGTTTTCAGGAAGAAACACATTTAATTGCTTGGAAGTGGGAGATTTAAGAAGGACCAACATAAATATATAAAAATAATAGATGTTTGTCATAGATGTTGTTCTGTTTAAGCCCTGATGATGTCAGCAGATAATAGATGTTGTTCTGTTTAAGCCCTGATGATGTCAGCAGAACACTGACGAAAGCTTGGCGTTGGTATAGTGACATTAAACTCTTACAATTTGATGATTTTACCCTGGTGTTCTTTTATTTATTTATTTTGGCAAAAATAATAGATGTATAAAAATACCTGATAGCATGAAAACGACAGAAATAATGTAGTGGGGGAAGACAAATTGGTCCAGGAATAAAACCATGGAGAACAAGTGATGGACCTCAAACTTAAATTTTGAGAATATAAAAAGATGAAAGGACTAGAAGACCTCCTCATTTCTGAGATCCAAAGCCGTGAAAATCTATGGATCAGTAAGTGGAGAGTTACTGATCCTATAAATGAGTTTCTTATTCTCTACATTTTGAGCGTGTCTTCAACATGGTTAGCATGAATAGGAAACATTACATCTTTCTGCGTGTTCAGCTTATGTGCAAGATGTTTTTTATTAAATAAGTTTAATTTGATTCTGTATTCAGATCATATAGCAAGTGAGACATACTGAGTTAGCCAATGCTTGTGCTAAACAAACAGAATTATATTCTTAGATTGTAAGGACTTAAGATCCATAGTAATCCCTTTGAATTCTATAGAATTACAAAATCCCTTGACTGTAATGAGATTCTGATTTGAAAATTTTGCATAGAAGATGCAAAGGAGGAGGAGATGAAAGACATTTTTGTGGTTCAAGTGATTCTGAATGGAATCAATTTGCATGTGAATTATTATTTTTTAATTGGAAGCTCTATATTAATGTTTCAAATAAATGAATAAAACCAATGCTAAGCAGATGGCCAGGTTTGAAATAATAATTGGGAGCAAAGTATCTTGTTTTCAATATATTTATAAATTAAAATCATGGTGCATTTAGAGGACTACGCTACATGAAAAAATTGTCTTTTTAATGGGTTTGGTCAAAAAATTTTGAAGTTGCATTACAACTGTTTCATAGGTTATTGTTTTATTTATTTATTAATAATAATAATAGTAAAGTTGGAAGGGACCTTGAAGGTCATCTAGTCCAACCCCCTGCTCAGGCAGGAAACCCTATACCATTTCGGACAAATGGCTGTCCAGTCTCTTCTTAAAAACTTCCAGTGTTGGAGCATTCACCGCTTCTGGAGGCAGGTTGTTCCACTGGTTAATTGTTCTCACTGTCAGGAAGTTT